GAGTTCAAGAGCAACCTGGCCAACATGATGAAACCGCATCTCTACTAAAAATACAAAAATTAGCTGGGCGTGGTGGCATGCGCCTGTAGTCCCAGATACCTGGGAGGCTGAGGGAAGAGAATTGCTTGAATCTGGGAGGGTGAGGTTGGAGTGAGCTGAGACTGCACTCCAGCATGGGTGACAGAGTGAGACTCCACCTCAAAAAAAAAAAAAAAGTATATTCTTTTTTTCTTTTTTGAGACGGAGTCTCACTCTGTCACCAGGCTGGAGTGCAGTGGTGAAATTTCGGCTCACCGCAACCTCTGCCTCCTGAATTCAAGCGATTCTCCAGCCTCAGCCTCCCTAGTAGCTGGGACTATAGGCACGTACCATAACGCCTGGATAATTTTTGTATTTTTAGTAGAGACGGAGTTTCATCATGGTGGCCAGGATGATCTCGATCTCTTGACCGCATGATCCGCCCTCCTTAGCCTCCCAAAGTGCTGGGATTACAGGCGTGAGCCACTGCACCCTGCCTTCAGGGTAATTTTTAAAAATAAAATATTATTTTTAAAAAAACATATAGTGCGTAGTTGAAAAAGAAAATACTGGTTTTCATGGGTGATCTCTAAGTCGAAGAAGTGCATTTTCCTTTCCTTCCAGCTCCCAGAGAAAAACATCTGTGCTGGGTTGTTGATACCAGCAGCTGGGATCAGTTGCCCAAGACCCTAGATTCTCAGGATGAAGACTGTCAGCAGAAGCTGACCTTTCCTGCGGGCTCATGTCCTAAAGCACCTTATTTGGGCACAAATATCCTCCCTTTTAGGACAGAAAAGAAGTTCTCCAGTCTTGTGGAGCACAGTATCTTTTCTACGTATTTCCTTTTGATGTTCTCAGCATCCTTACAAGGCAATCTGAAGTGTGAGGAGCCTCAGACCCAGGGAGTTGAAGGCAGACTGCAAGAGCTGGATGCAAATGCCACACCCCTGGGCCTGGGCTGCCTGGGTTTTACAAAGCCTGGGAAGTGCTACCAAACCCATTCCTCGCTAGTCTCATAATCCTGTGGGAGAGCAAAGCCCACATTATCATGGCTCCCTGCTCTACCTACCTGCAGATCCGAAAACTGAGGTCCAGGGGGGTTGTCAGGACCTGGTTTTACCCCAGGGACAACGAGGCTGGAGGTCTGTTCCCTATAGTGGACCATGATGGTCCTCCTGCTTCACATGGCCTCTTTGGAAGGGGCTTGCTCATTTACGGGAATCCTGGGGTCGAACAGCCCTAGTGACAGCCCCTGGGATGGCTGTAGGAGAGGCAGCAGCATGCAGGTGTTAACATCACAGACTTGACACCCGGCCACCTGGGCTTACATCCTGGTTCCTCCAGTTCCTGGCTCTTTGACCTTGGAAAAGTCCTCTTTCTTTCTTTTTTTTTCTGTTTTTTTGAGACAGTGTCTTGCTCCATCGCCCAGGCTGGAGTGCAATGGTACGATCTTGGCTCACTGCAACCTCCACCTCCCAGGTTCAAGCAATTCTCCTGCGTTAGCCTCCCAAGTAGCTCAGAGTACAGGCGCCCACCACCACACCTGGCTAATTTTTTGTTGTTGTGTTTTTAGTAGAGACAGGGTTTCACCATGTTGGCCAGCCTGGTCTCAAACTCCTGACCTCAGGTGATCCACCTGCCTTGGCCTCCCAAAGTGCTGGGATTACAGGCATGAGCCACCCTGTCCCACTGACAAGTCCCCTTAACCTCTTTCTGCCTCATTCGACTCACTGGGAAAACAGAGCACCTACATCCTTCAAATGAGAAGAGAATTAAAGGAGTATGAGGCCATCAGAACAGTACCTGGCCCAAGGGAGGCTATGGAAGTGCTTGTTAAATTAAAAAAATGGCTTCAAGGCCGGGCGCGGTGGCTCAAGCCTGTAATCCCAGCACTTTGGGAGGCCGAGGCGGGTGGATCACGAGGTCAAGACATCGAGACCATCCTGGTCAACATGGTGAAACCCCGTCTCTACTAAAACTACAAAAAATTAGCTGGGCATGGTGGCGTGTGCCTGTAATCCCAGCTACTCAGGAGGCTGAGGCAGGAGAATTGCCTGAACCCAGGAGGCGGAGGTTGCGGTGAGCCAAGATCGCGCCATCGCACTCCAGCCTGGGTAACAAGAGCGAAACTCCGTCCC